AGGCGCTGGCCCTCGTAACCCGCCCTTCCTGCAGCTCTTCCTGCGCCACCTCGTGTGGGCTCCAGTACACCCTTCAGGAAACTACTCACTACAAATGTATGTGCTGCTGACTGCACAGGGGATGAACATCAGATCTTGGCATCAGTTTTTCTACCTTGAGTTCTAAAATGCTGGAAACTCAAGAGAAAATATCTGCATCTCTCTCCTGTGGAGTACTCTGTAACTCATTAAGTAACCTGACAAACACAGCTGTCTCTAAGTCGTACTTTATGCTGACCCTGTTTAAAAGCTACCAGTTAAGTTGTCAGCTTAAGAGTTATTTACGAAGCATTATGAAAATAATGAACCTAAAGTAGCATCTCTGACATACAGCAACGCTGCAAGAAAAAGCACTTGAGCTTTATCATAAATTCAATTCACTTGGTGATGTAAAATTCACTGTGCTGTAAAACAAGGACTTGTCTGTTTTAAGCAGTTTCTAACTGATTATCTTATTTAACAATAGACTGAGCTGCTCTTTCTTGATTGCAGGATTGTATCTGAATACTGTGGTTTTATGAAAGACAGCAGGAACTTCATTTGACACATTAAGATTAGAGAAATTTACCAACCCTGCTCTAACCTTTCAACCTCATATCCTGGAAAGCAGCACCCCCTGCATATTTTGCAGAATCAATTGAGATTAGTTTTCTCTCCTTTTTGGAGGGAGAAATAAAAAAGTTACTCATCAAGTATTTATTTGAAATCAAAGTTTATTTATTCAAAACACTTCTCTATTTAACTTTTTTTTATTTTTAAAATTGCTGATACCTAACAGAAAATAGTATTTTCAGTCAAAAAGGCAGAAACAAATATTGAAGAAATTTCTAAAGAGAACACAGCTGTATCTCAAGCCTTAAAGAAGTACTTCTAAAATTTTTCATGAAAGAAAGACTTTTTCCGCTTTTTTCCTAGATCTAGGATTTAGTGGGATATATCTGAATTTCAGGGAGTGACAGCTCCATCAAGTTGTTACAAAAATGATAATCTCTTTTACGAATGTGGCAAATGTTAAGTATTGTCTAAATATAGCCTTATATATTTTGAAGAGAAAATTCACATGGATAGTTGAGATCAGTTAAAAACGGGCCTTACAAAAAAGTGATAAAGTTATACTTTCCATTCTGACTGTTGGTCTCACCAGTCTCCTACTTCGACTACAAATGGTTCTTTTACAGCTATTTTGCCACTGTTCACAATCACACAGTCTTGAAGGGGCTGGTCATGTTCATCTGTCTGCTGGAGTTCTATCAAGTGCACCACAGACTGTCAAAATAAAATTAAAAAAAAAATAAAAAAATATTTCAGTTTAGCCAAGGAAATTCCAGAGGCTCAAGTCTGGTACCAGGTAAACAACTAAGTGCTCCTAGATTTATTCTTTATCAAGCAACTTCTGAACAGATATTTACTCTGTTGAATTCCCAGACTTCTTTTTCCCCCACAGTAACAGTTGTGCTACTCCACAAACACTGACAGAAGCACATGGAAGGCTGTTTGCCCATCTATAAAAACTTTCAGTCAACAAAAACATTATGAAGGGCAACTGAAAATATCCTTTCAGGTGATCTACCTAGCACATACAGGGTCTATCAGTAACTAACCTATCAGCAGAAAGTGAATTCAGAGATCATAAAAGATGAGCAGTAATTATTTTTCAAATAGTAGAGCATTACTGTGCTTCAAGACAAGCTGACTGCTTTTATCTTTAGTATAACACACAGATTTTAAGTGTAGTATCATGCTCTCCAGCCCACCAGGTACTGGTCAACTACCAGCCTCACATTAGGCAACTAACTGAAGTAGTATTTTTAAAGGACAAAGTGTAGTTAGGAATATTAACTAGGCTTTGGGTATTTGTCCATTAATCTAACTAATCCAACTTAACTAACTTAGTCCAAGTCTCTCCTCAAAAATTCTCAGCTACTACTGTAGCTCATGAGAATTTAATTAAATATGAAACAGGGAGTGGGAGGCAAGTGTTCTGATGAGGTTTTCAAACTTTCAAAGAACTGGTCATTTCAAATCATAGATTAAATGGAATAGTTTAAAAGGAAAACCAGACTACTAAAAGTATGATCAACTGGAACTACCATTTCTAAACTTAAATTCTATTTGGCCTTTGCAGTGAGATATATTTGATCAGTTTTGCAGCTGTGTAGAGTTTAAGGGAATTAACTAGATTTTTTTTCTTTTTAAACAGATCTGAATATGAGTTTGTATGTGAATATATATACACATTCACATACTTCTAAGAACCCTAACAGTGGAAGTGTTATACATAACTAGCACATTCTACAAGATAAGATTTTACCTTGTAAAAATATAATTATTTCAAAGCTAACAGCATTAATGAAAGGGAAACCTGATATTATGCCATTTGTAATCTGCAAAGGTGTCAGTGTTGATTTCAGCAGTTACTAGTCTGAAACAAGAGCTGTGAAACCCAAAGACATTCAAGTTTCCATTTCTGCAGTCACCATTTGCTGTTTCAGTTGTAAATTGTCCAGCTCCAGGGTCTTCACAATCTTTTTCTACTATATACATAGTTGATAAAAACTCAATTGTTTTGAACAACAGTGGGGTCAGTCACGCTAACACAGATATAACGTGGCAGAATTTGTCCCGATTTTCTATCTTGCCACTGCTTTTAGCTTACCATTCCATCAAGGACTTTGCCAAATACTACGTGTTTTCCATCTAACCAGGAAGGTTTTGTCACACTGATGAAGAACTGGGATCCATTGGTGTCTGGGCCAGAGTTAGCCATGCTAACCCATCCAATTCCATAGTGTTTGAGCTTGAAGTTCTCATCTGGAAATCTTTCTCCATAGATGCTTCTTCCTAAGAAACAAAGTAAGAAAGCAAACTTTTAAAAAAATCAAGCCAAAAAACCTCTTTTAGTTCAAAAATGGGAAAAAACAAAGTACAACTTTAGAACTTGGACATTCATTGTCTGAGTAAGCACAGCAACATCACTGTTCCATCGTCAGTGATTCCATAACTAATAGCATTTTGTGTGTAAAGAAAAAGGTAAGTGAAAACACCACATGTAAGGAGGGAATATTTAAAGCTGATGATGCTTTATCCTTTAACAAGCAATGTGAATACCTTCAAAGGTCCTGCTTCCATACAGCACTAAACAACAGTAAACTTAACAAATTTGAATTATGTCATTTTGGCCACTAAAAGTCAGGTTGCCAGATTTTGTGACAATTTTAGTCCTTCCTTTTACAACTTTTTCCTCCTAGTAAGAAATTGCTTTAGAGATGTTTAAAAATCTATGAAGACAAAATGGAAGTTAGGCGAAAGACTCAGTGTGGATTTGTACAAACATTTACATAAGGATTCTGATGTTTCTAAAATAGTTCCGAAGAGAAGATATTTGAGTCATGTTTAAACCACCATCACTTTGAAAAGAGAAGGCTGGCTGTCTCATTCATTTGCACAGTGCCTAGCTCAATGGGGACACAACCCGCAACACACCACCAGGTACTATCCCAATAAATAGCATTAGCTGGCAAACAAACACTGCCTACCTTTAATGTTAGAACTGTGTCTTTGGTACTTTAGCCTTCCCCGTTGTTCACTGCAAGGAAAAAGCATCTGTGCTTTCTATTCTGTCCCAGTGGGGAAATCACTGACATTTTACGCAGACAGTTCAAATCACAGCAAGTAAAGAATGTGTGTGCAAAGGAAGAGATGAAACCAGAAGCCAGAATGCATGCAATGCGAGAGACGCTGCACTGGGACTGCCCTCCTTCGTGGACTGAACCAGTGTTCTGGAGGCTCAGGAGGGAGAAGTAATACACACAACCGGAACTCACACCATCAGTAAGTTTATAATTTTAAATTTAGCACAAGAAAAAAAGAGAGAGGGCACGATCGTCATTTTGGAATTTCTCTCCCCGTTTTGAAATTCCCTCCCATCGCACATTTCAGAAGGTTCCAAAGAACTGGCTGAGCTGAGGGCAGAGAGGACAGCCTCCTCCTTCCCTACCTGCCTTCCCTCTATGTACTTTCACTGTTTCGTCACGGATTAGTTTTCTGCTGGAAGACCTGAACTGGTTCACATATACATGCAATCAATGAGTGCTTCAGGGAAGAAGAGCAGTGGAAGGGTGGAGACATCCATCTTTTGGAGACAGTATGTTGGAGGAGCAGCTCAGCTGGTCACATGGCTCTGGCCCACCACGCAAAGCCATGCTTCTTGAATGGGGACAAGTCACAGACAGAAAAGAGCTATCTGCAAAAATTGAGGACAAAGGAAACTCTACACATACTTACAATCAGATAATCCAAATAACTGCAGCTTATGTTCCAGGATACTTGGAAAAGTACTAGATGCTCTAAAACAAATGTGGTGGGTGGTTTTTTTTTTCATTTATATGAACTGAAAGAACGAGGGAGTATGTTGGTTCACCCATCATTTCAGCAGACATTCGAAGAAAGGCAAGGAATCTGGAAGATACTAAGCATATTACCTCCTGATCCATCTCCAGCTGTAAAGTCTCCTCCTTGAATCATGAAGTCTTTGATCACACGATGAAATTTACTTCCTTTTTATCCATATCCTCTCTAAGAAAATGAAATAATTCTTTAAACGCATGCAGCATCCAGTTCTATACAGTCATATGGAAATATACATGTGGTGAATGGCCAGATTTCACAGAATACACCACCACCACAGACAAATACTGGCAAGAAACAAATTAAACTGAAATGCAGGTGAATGCAGCTGGGCTGCACTGCCACAAAGCATACATTTATTCAGGTGATCAAAGCCACTGTCTTTATTTGACTGGCATATGACCACAGTACCTCTACAAGCTAGATACGCATGGCGTGGACAGACTGAGGTGGTGACAGCCAACATCTCATAATTGCATCTTGTGAACTAAGCCTGAAGGACCTGAGAAGACACGCACCAGTGCACAGCCTTGGACATGGCACTCTTGCACAGGCACCACTCAATTAACATTGACAGTTCACAACTGAAACAGCATTAAACAAATACTCACTTCCTAATCCAAACGTAAGTACACAGTGAAAGAAAACTGCACACGTACTTCTCCAGTTGCCAGTGCAATGAAGTTCTCCACGGTCTTTGGGACAACTTTTCCAAATAATCCAATAACAATTCTGCCAACATCTCTGTCTCCAATCTTCACATCAAAGAACACCTGAACATTTTTATGAAGAGAACAAAAGTAATACAAACATAAGCACAACAAAAAGGCCAAGCTTTTGAAAGTGTAAGGTGGTAAGAAACTGCTTCTGGCTGGTCAATATTACTAGTATCCTTCAATTCCTGAGGGTGCCATTTAAGAAAAATCCTTTCAGAGCTACCACAATCAGATTCTGCAGAAAACTCTGAGAACTGGTAACTTAAGGGTTTTGATTCTTACTGTTTTTAATGACTCAGTGAGAATGCTGTATCACAGGTCTGAAGGCAGTGCTCAGGACGGTTTTTCCCAGACATGCATGCCTTTCAAGCTGTACAGAAAAGATGAAATATGAAAGAAAGAACAAGGATATTATTGTGGTGAACAATAACAAGGAACTATAGTACTGGCATTCCCCACAAACAATAGTTTGCTATCCACTCATAATCCTCCCTGTTACAGGTATTAGCAGGTATGTGATTAAGTAGAGGCGAAAGCCGAAATGTCATTAAGTTGACAAACAGTGGGAAGAAAATCATACGGCTTGAGCAAGGAGTCACTTTCCAAAACTTCAATTCAAATCTGATAAAGAAATAAGCAGGCTATGCTTCAATATAGATGTTACTAAAAAGCAACTTCAAAAAGGCGAGTTAAAAAGTGAGTTATAAAGCATTTTAATATAGTTCAGAATATATGAACGCACATTTGAACGTGCAAAATTATTCCAACAATTACTGAAAATAGGAACAGCTGCCAGGAAATGAGGCATTTTGAAGTTCTGTAAAAGCTACATAGAGACTATTACAACTTCTAGGAAACAGCAATGTGTATTCCTATGATGTGGTATTTGCTGTTCCCTGTGGCACTCAACCAAATATTACTTGTCTGCAACACTAAGAAATTAGTCTAATAACGATAATAAATGACCACAGTCTCTCCAAAGTGAATGCCTCTTTCACACTCTCCGACTAAACATTTCTACTGTTTCTTGATCTTCCATGTGGTTTTGACTGCTGAACTTTTGGCTAACGCTATAAAAGCTCTGTAAGGAAAATAAAATTCCTTTTGATACACCTCATTCGTTTCTTTGGCACTTGGCACTAAATAACATACCTCTTAGATGTGTGGCTCCCAAAGTATTAACAGCACACTTTCACTAACTTCTTAACATTTTTATAAACACACTTCTCTGATTTTTGCTGCCAGGTTTATCTAGGTAATGGGTACTGTCTGCCTACATTTTCTAAACACACCTTATTTTGGCTGGAAATGCTGTCCTAGTAGAAGGACTGCCTGAAATAATAAGCATATATAAGTAACACAACCAAGGCTTCCAAACAATGACCCCAGATAGCAGTAATATCAAACACTTTCACAAAGCACATAGAGACAGGTCCATCATAAACCTAACCCAAGCAGAAGGCTTCATTTGTGGCACAGCTGCTTGCCTAAGCAGCAAGCCCAGAACTTCCAAAAACCATTGCTTCAGCTTATTCTGCATTCATGAACAAACAGTAAGCTCCTAGTACTCCATAATACCTGTGCTATATGCTTGGTCATTTTCTGAAAGCTCTGCACTTCCTAATTATGCATGACATAATGTGTCTGTGCATATTTCTGGCCAGGAAATCAAATATGGAATCAACTGGTAGCCCTAGATGACATTGTTGCATAGAGAAGCCATGTTCTCTTAAGCAACTGTGGTGGGTTGATTCTGGCTGGATGTCTCCCAAAGCTGCTCTACTATCACTCCCCTCCTCAGCTGGACAGGGGAGAGAAAATGTACTAAAAGGCTCATGGGTTGACATAAAGACATGGAGAGATCACTCAGCAATTACTGCTGTTATAATCACAAGAAAATTCTGGCCGATTAAAGCAGGTATTTCTTTCAGCAGTAGAGCTAAAAGAACACTTTGATCAATCAAGGTAATTCAAGTGGGTTGATGATTATGTAGTTAGAATTGGTATTTGTTTAAACCACAGAGTTAAGAAAAAGATTGCAAGATATATTTGTATAAGCACTTAGAGAAGGCACGTACCATGCTCAAGAGAAGAATTACACAATAGCATGAGGGATAATAGCTGTGGTCAGACCACCATAAGAATAGGCCGAAACCTTTTTTTTTTTCCAAATTACAGGGGTAATCTCTTATCATGGGGTCACAGCCTCTTTCAGGCAACCACCTGCTCCAATGTGGGGTCCTCCACAGACTGCAGGTGTTATCTGCTGCACTGCTAACCTCCATGGGCTGCAGGGACACAGCCTGCCTCACCGTAGTCTTCTCCAAGAGCTGCAGGGGAATCTTTGCTCCAGCACCTGGAGCACCTCCTCCCTCTCCTTCTTTTCTGACCTTAGTGTTTGCAGAGTAGTTTCTCTCACACATTCTCGCTCCACTCTTCAGCTGCAAGTTACTTTTTCCCCTCTGTCTTAAGTATGCTATCACAGGGGAACTACCACCATCAATGATAGGCTTCACCTCGGCCAGTAGTGAGTCTGTCTTGGAGCTGGCTGGCAATTGCTCTATAGGACATATGGGAAGCTTCTAGGAGTTTCTCACAGAAGCCACCCCTGTAGCCCTCCTGCTACCAAAACCTTGCCATACAAACTCATTACAGCTATTTCCTCAGATTCTCTGTACAGTCAATAAGCATGTAAACACTAGGGAACTGGTCAACACAGCGGTCTATAATCTCAAAAAATATCTGGCCA